GGAATGGTGATTGGATGGGCGCGCACGGATGGGCGGGCATGGAGTGAAGGGGTGCCATCTGGCGTGCATCTTCGTTATTCCGCGGCGATTTTCTCGCTTCCGAAGCCACATTTTGCGCCGCGAGTTGGACCTTGAATTGAAAGGGGGCCCTTATGTCATATGCTGCCAAAAGCTCAAGACCCTCAACTTATGGACGATGCCTTTAACTTGGGTTAGAACTTTCAAAACTTCAAACATCCAACGCCACAAACTCAAATGTTATTTGTTCAAAAATATTTCATCGTGTTCACGGTAAATGAGAGCATTTCTTGAAAATAATGCATTCAATATCATGCTAGTCGTGCATTACCAGCTTGGGTTTCATGCACGCACATTACGCCTTAAAACCTCATTAACTTTAGACTTTCAACCGCTCATAACTTTTTGCAAGAACTGCATCATACATATGGAGGGTAGATTGAGAATCAGGTCGTCAAGATCTAACGACATGCGCTTCTTCAAGTTTACCTCCTTGAGATGGCATCGTTCCCTTCTCAGAAGTGACAGATAAGAAGCGTGATTCTATCAGATCCCTTTTTGAAGCCATTTTCAAGAAGGCAAGAGTCTCAGGGCTAGCTTTGACGAGAGCAAGGATAAAACACGTTAGGCAGTATGTGATTCATTCATTGCTCTTGCTATGCGAAAACGCGATGAGGGCTGGAGAATTTTCGGGGAAGGCGGGCGGCACCCCGTAGTGGGCCTTACGTGGTCCCTTCTAGTGACTTGAAAGTAATTGATTATGATGGTACGAAAGAAATAAAGTAATTCAGCTATTGAACTTCTATACCTGAATTTCATCATCGTGTTTCGGTTCGAAATCGTACAGTACCCGGCAGAATGTTGTATTTATGGCCGGTTCGTCGATTACGGTAGTCTATCGAAAACCAGTTAGAGAAGCCCTCGCCAGAAATCTGACTGAAAATCTTCTTAACTGTGACGTCACCGGCTAATCGAGAATCCTCGATAAGAGGACTTCCTCGGAGTTGTTTTACCTTGTCATACTCTTCAAACTCATCCGACGTTCGTGATGATGTTTTCGGCGGGGCATAAATCGTGCCGGAGCAAACCGAAGGTGATGATAAAGATTGATCTTCACCAGCCGGGGGATCTTCAGGACTGTGGTTGGTAAGACTAAAAGTGATTTTCTGAACAAACTCATAGACTAAGCTAGTTACCGCTAACAATTAGTGATTTATTGGGTTGTCCTGAAAGTAAACCGTCTTTATAACAAAATTAAAATGTTTTGTTTTCCTAGCGGACTTTGAGTACCATATGATAAGCAAAGCAAGTTCTACAAAAGTAACTGAGGTAAAGTTTCGTGCCGAGATCGAAAAGATTGGTTTCTTGCTTAAAATTCTACCAACTTCCAAATTGGTCATACACAACAGACAAGAGAAGTGCTCAAATATGCCTTTACTAGTTTCTTCTTCGCATAGAAAGCGAGAAATAAAGTTAGTGAAAAAGGACTCCCCTCCAGCCCCTCCACGTGGGTCATTGCATACTATAAACCTTAATATTTATGATCCTGAAATTTTACCTCCGTACGCGCCCTGATAATCGCGAAATACCAATTTTAACATAAAAAATCCGAAAAAGTGACATTTCTCCATTTTTAGGCTACAATGACTTCTCTATTTTGAGCCCTCTGGAATAAATCCATCATATACGTTTTTGGGTGCTACTATGTGTCTACTGTATAATGACATATTGGAGGTTCGTGTTTTTGATTTTCTGGAAGGAGATTCGATTCTAAGGGTGATTGGAAAATTTTGGTTTTTGGCTTCGGTTACTACTTGGGCTAGTGAACCAGTAATCTGAAGGTGCAAGATCTGGGACTGTTCGTTTCGCCCGCAGGAGTTTCTCGTGGAAGATTTTTGAATTGAGCTAACGATTTTTTTTGTATATTAGATAGTTATGACTTAGGTGGATCTTTTGTGGCCATTGTGCAAAGCTCGCTTTACTTTTTTGAATGATACCCCAAGTCTGCTAGAAAAACAAAAACATTTTGATTTAATGAGAAATCCGTTCACTTTTGACAACCTAATATAACTTGCTATGTGAGTTGCACACTAGCGCAGCAAATTCCGACACCATTACAATTAATTCCTCAGTGATATCTCTTCTAGAGTAACGCGTTGCGGTAATGTTTACTACTTACTGATACATATCCAAAATCGAAAGAGGCAAAAACAAGGAGAAATTACTGAAAATGAGCAGGTTCTAACCTTACAGGTCGTCAAGTTGCGCGCATGGTGAGCAAGATGCATAATTAAGTAAAAATAACTCGATGATCTTATCCTTACTGCTTTATCTTTCGATTTATGTTAAAGTCGCACTAATAGTGATAGCCACGATTTTGACCGCCATCATAAGAATTGATGGCATCATTTACTTTGTAGTAGAGGTATTCGATGAATTTGACCAAAGTCTAAAACTCATGATCTTGGCCTATGACTCCAATTTTTGGAATGACTTACAACTTGCCTAGTGTTGCAGATTTGAGTGTCTGCTCGACCTTGCGAGTACAATCGTTGCAGTTCATTGTCCAGTACATTCGAAACTCGGAACTAGGCACATCGTCGTGAGCCACACATTATCTCATCAAAGTTTTCTGCCTATAAAAAATGAGTGCACTTCGATAATGTTTATTATTTACAAAGATGTGTTGATGAGATCTTCTTGTAGGCAGTCAGTTTCTGCCTACCAGATCTAGTAAACCTATTTTAGTACGGCGAAATCACTAAGATTTGAAATGCAGCAGATTTCAAAAGATGTATCGCTAAAACTTGAAACTTTTCGAATTTATACTAAGAATGCAAACTCTTTCAATTCGATTTTTCCTCACTTACAACTCATCCTTGAAAATACAAAAGCGACAGGCTGCAAAAAGGTGTTTTCAAAGCAACTCGATATTCAAGGAAGGGTAAAGATGACGTCTTACATTGACTTTTAATAGTCACTTAAGGTCAAAAATCTCCAGAAAATAAATGTGCGTCTCTACACAGTTGCTGTCACGAAGCAAGGTTTGGATCAACCAAACACTAATACGCTACATATTCATCAAAATCAAGAGATGATGATCTTCCACAAGATACTGTGAGAGGGCATTTCAAAATATTAGGTTGATGCAGAAATAATGGCCGTTCTGCGGAATCTCACTTTGATGTTCCCTAACTTTCCGAAAATCCACATTTCGCATGCAATTGGAATCCTTAGAAGCAGCAAATCTTCTGACAGCGCACATTTATCTATATTCGTAGCACAGACGGGCAGAAAAATATGGATTGAGAAATAAAAAGTTTTAAAAACCTTATTTTTGACAAATCATAACTCCCTTCACAGTTCATGGGTAGAAATGAAAAGTTATATGTCCCGTAGTTGTAAGAAGTAGGACAAAATAAGAAGAAAAAGGCTTGGGCAAAGAAAATTTGCGAAAAGAAAAAAAAACTACAATCTAAAATCGTCGGTGTTTCTCAATATTTTTCCATAGGCCTCAAATTCTCGATTTTTAGAAACTCTTATTTTCTGCGTACTGAGCAGTTGAACATCATAAAACCATCAGAGGCAACGAATCCGCAATGCAGCGCATTTTCATTTATTCGTATAGCAAATAGGCAGAACAACGTGGACAAAAAGTTTTCAATCAAAGAATCGTTTTTAACAACCATAACTCGCTTCATGAAGTTGCTAGTACACATGGAAAGTAGCTCACCTTGTATCCACAGGCCAGTAGTATAGAAGAAAATGAAATGGGTTTGAACAATAAGATTTGCGAAGAGAAAAAATGGAGTTCCAATACTGTCAGATTTTTTCAAGATCTTATTGGAGGTTTGAAGAAAATTTTCGCAGTTTTCTGCATACTGAAGAACTAAACCTTTTGCAAAAGACTGTCAACGGAGGCATCACCTACGGAAAAGAGCAGAGTTTTGGGGATTGCCTTCTTCAAAAGAAATTTGTGGGCCGCAGGATGACCGCAACGGCTACCTATTTTGAGGCGCCGATAACTTAGTCTAGATAATTTCAAAAAAAAAGTTAGGTGTGCTTGATGTGAACAATTTTTCATACATATAGTGGCTAGATTTTTGGGAAAGCGATGTTCATTCGCGCTTAAATTCTGGCCAGAAAAGTGAATGCAGTGAAATTCTGAATTTGTACAGGGTTATTTAAGGCTCTGTAGATTTTGTAGCAGATGAGATTGAAGCCCACCTCAACCATCAAAAAAATAGGGCACAAAAAGAACTTCTTAAAATTAAACTTTTTTTGAGCAAAGAAAGATATTTTGATGGAAAAAAGTTGGTCTAAAAGAAACTCCGAGAAAACACACAGAAAATTGGTAATCAAATTCTACTCGTTAAGTTGACGTGAATAACTGAATCTTATGAGAAACATGGTAGCTTTTACCACATCTGCAATACTGAACTGGCATCAGTGCGGTAGAAGGATTCTGTTGTAATTGATTGGTACTCCAATTGAAACCTTATTCGGAGATCCTGACCTGATTTAATTTGAAAATTTTCAATTCTTATGGGAAAATTGCTGTATATCCGAACGCAGCAGTGGCAGCTGTAAATTTTCAGTTATTACAGATAGATGTGAGGCGATCAGGAATTTAATGAATGACAATTTAATTCCAGCAGTCCCACAAGACCTCCCTCGGAGAGTAATTCAACCAAGGTCGTTGCCCAAGACTGTTTGCCTGACGACGCATCTACTACCAGTCTCGCAATCGATAGAGAGACACTACATCTCCTTTCCACATCACTACGATCACTATTGTATTAGCGACTACATTACATAACATACATTGTAGTTTTCTTCATTTTTGTGCGAAATTGCAATGAGTTTTATCGATAATTTCTAGGGTAAATTAACCGTGGGTCATCATCATGCCGCGCTCCTTTGGAGCATGGCATTCGAGAAGAAAACTAAGCGCGCTGTGCGCCTTAATTATTTTACTAATCATGGCTATTGATTATCGTAGATACGCTATGATGCAAATGGAAGAAGATATAATAAAAGTAAGTAAATTGCGAGTTGCTCAAAAGATCAATATCAATCGATAATCAGAAGAAACAACGCAGTGACTTCATGGACGACATTGACTATGCGCTCGAATCAATGAAGTACATGCATGACATGCAAAACGGCAAAGCCAAGATTCGTCCGGTTGTTGAGCGGGTACGGTAATTTTCAGCAAAGGTGTGTGCTTACACAATAAAAACAGTGCATTTTTTGTGCTGGGAGTACATTTTTTGCAGCTGTTAAAGCCAGGTTTTGTGAGGGAATTTCCAAAGGGATTAAGGAAATAAAAAGAAATGTGGGAAGTGTAAATAGGAGAAGAGAATTGCATTTTCCATTTTGATTTGCTTAATTGTTCTATCTCAGAGTTAAGAATTTCTCTCAGTTATTTTTCATGTTGTGCGTTTCGAGTTGTAATGGTGTATAATCGCGCTTCAATTTCAAAACAAACTCTATTGTATTTCTCTGTTCTATCAAGTTATTGAATTATTACTTATTCCGAAAAGCCCGTCGAAATCATAAATCATTTATACATTACTTGAAAAAAAAACTTATTTACACTTGTAATATTTCATACTTTGAAAAAAAATTTTTTTTCAGTCTTTCTATAAGTAGTCATCCCAACACTACAAACTTCTATCAATTAAATTGATTTCGATTTCTTATAGAAGCAACCCGTTGTAGAATACTATTGGTGGTGTCGTATCGATCGATTCGAAAAAGTCAGCAATAGTGAATGGACAGAAAATGATGGTCTATACCTGTATAATGCTTATCTAGACACTCGACAAAATTCGCTCTATCCATGGAATGACGCCATTCAGGTATTTTTTATAAATGTTTCTCGACTTTTAAAAGACTATTTTTATCAGATTCTCTCCATGTCATTTCGTACGCTACGCCATAAAGTTTACTGTAATATATATGATGAGAAGCGCTACGCTGTAGTCGAAGGCTACGTACGTGAAATTTGGCAACGCGGCTGGGATCCGAGGTAAATTTTTTTTGCGCAGATTAGATTACTAGAATCTTGTGATTAATTCCAGAGATCGCTTTTATATCCCAAATTTAATCACATGTCCCATACCGAAGCGCTTCAAATCGTCAAAAGAGTTGTACGTATCGATTACTTCTGCGGCGTGCAGCACGCAACGCACAGCCATGCGCGTGCGCATCGATCGATCAAAGCGTAAGAAAGATGCAGTGGCTGTTTGCGTCAAGGGATTAGATTTTCAGGTAGGTTTTCAATTTTAAAAAATGGTGAGGTAAGTCCAACTTTTCCAGACAGACTTATCTGTAAGACTCGTGGAATGGCTGGAAGCACAGTATCTTTTCGGAGCTTCTGCCGTAACCATTTACAAGTATACCGTATCTAAGAAAATGGATCGGGTACTGGACCATTATGAAAAATTAGGAAAACTGACACAGGTAATCGAAAGCAACATGTTAGTTGGATTATCTCAAAAGTTCAAGTTAAGATTCCTTTGACACTTCCTGGACATTCGCCAAATTTGCCTGTGGTGAGAAGCGAATATATTGGAAGAAATCGTCAGCAGAAAAGACGTCATGAACTGATACCGTATAACGATTGCCTTTATAGGTGAGTTCCATGGGAACAAACACAAAACTCGAATATCTCTTTCGAAACCATGATCATAGAATGGAACCATATATTCTACTTTCTTTGAGGTAAACATGACTTTGAAATATTTACGAATTTTAATACACAGTAACAAAGCAAAACTTTGAGGACTTATTATTCAGATTTTCCAAACGACATTAGACAAAACCATGTTCATTTTATGGATCTTGTAACGTTATTAGGGTGTCCCATAATTATTTGCCGTTTTTACCCTAAACATCAGCATTTTTCGAGAACTAGGGCACCTACAAAGGGCACAGATACATGATCGTACTTTTGTATGTATGAGTTATATGATCACGTGCGTGGGAGGAGCTCAGAACGTCTAGGGGCGGAGTTTGCCATTTTACTCCATGCAATTTTTTCTTTATTTCTAGCCATGAAAAGAATACGGAAAGTGTATGCTTCATGTGTTGAGCATATGCTAGGATAAATGGGGAATTCTTAAGATTTTTTGGGGCAGATATAGGATTTTTTCCCGAAAAGTTCGTTTTTGACTGCTGTCAGATTTGAGCTCAGAACTTCACGTAGAATACAATTTGGGCAGATTCTTGGTAGCCGTCTTATAGACCTTGCTTTGCCCTGCCGAATGATTACTCAAGAAACCTCAATTGAAAGAAAGATACAAAATGGCGACGGCTACAGTAAAAACGGTAAATAATTATGGGAAAATCTAATAGAACAACGCAAAAATCAGTTGCACCCCGATTTGACAAAAGCAGTCCATAAAAATTTTCAAATAATACACAACTCACTTTTTGATATGACAACACTTACACTCGTAGCGATAGCAAACCTTTTTTGGGCAGAATCCAAATTTTTCTTGATAACGAAAGGAGCAATGAGTGTTCAAGATATAAACTTGATGAAAAGCTTACCAGTTTTCAGCAAGCTTGTATTGATATCAAAATAGAGTCGTGCTTGCAGCCATGCAAACAGCAAAAGGATTACATATTCAATCTACATTGTCACTCTGTGAGAAAATCTTTTTTGAGAGGGTGAATTCCAGCACAACCCTTCAACGAATAAGTTTGTATTACCCTTCCCACTGTCCTTGACTCCCCCCCCCCCCGCGAAATATTTTTTCTGACCGCTACTGACCACAGGTTGCAATGAGCAAAAGACTTGCTTAGAATGGTAGTGTAAGTGTAAGTTCAAACCATACATATCATATAATATCTGCTGCATGACGAAGGCGGTTGCCCAAATAGGCTGAAGGCTGTCGCGCACGCGGCGCGCGGGCAACTGTCAACCATCGGGCGCGCGCACGCTCGGTCAGCGGTCATCCACTGTAGCGTGCGCGTGCCCCGTGGCTGACAATTGCCCGCGCACCGCGTGGCGACAACCTTCAACCTATTTGGGCAACCGCCTTCGTCATGCAGCAGATATTATGTCGTATTGGACCTTGAATTCGTAAAAAACCATCTACTCAAACACCAATTGCATTGAAAATGATTGAGAAAGAAATTTTGTTTCAGAAACCTTTTATATGTACAAAAGTTTTTTGTCTTGTTCCAGACTTGATGTTTTGATTATTTTGTATTTCAAAATTCCAAAAAAATGGTCCTTCTATTGAGTATCCGTTACAAGAATACCAAGGAAGGTTGGACAAACAATTCTTTGTGATTGATCTTTTTTCAGGCACATCCCCACTCATCGCTACATCTTAATACTTGACATAGACGAAGTAGTTGTGCCTATCAAGCACAACACCTACGCCAAGCTTATTGACGCAATCGAAGCAAGCACAAACAAAGAAAAAATTAGTTCGCTCTCGTTTTCGAACGTCTTCAAATTTCCCGCCAAGGAGGAGGATCAGGATCGATCCCGTCCTGAGCATATGTTTATGCTTCGAAATATAATGCGAACTCGAAAAACTAGTAATCGTAGAAATTACGGGAAAAGCATGACGAAGTGAGTTTTTCTATCAAACTCTAAGGTACGAAAGAGATTAAGTATTCATTTTTTTTAGCACGGGTACTGTAGCTTCAGTATTCAACCACTTTGCATTGCACCGCCTGTCGGGAAAAATCTCACCCACGATGTATGTGCCAGAAAAACTCGGGATAAAGCTGCACTACAAATCTACCTGTCCCATTGAGGCCCAAAAGGACTGCGATGAACTGCAAAAGGATACTGTAAGAGATCATAGCCTAGATAGATTTGCCGATGAATTGGAACGACGTGTAAATCTGACTCTGGCTGAGCTAGACTTATTACAACATCAATGAGACGGGTTTAGGTTACTTTAGTTGAATTCGACATTTTTTGAGATTGTAAATATCGTTTTATCGAAATTGTATTGTTATGAAGAAATAAATACGCTTTTGTGAACTCACATAGAGGTCCATCATATCATGATTGACTGCTGTAAAAGAAGGATGAATTTCTGATATAAGTCATTGGCAGTTGCGTGTACAATTACATCCAGGTTGTTGGTATGCCTTTCAAACATCTAAAAGAAAAAATTCAAATATCAAATGAAAATTGATGCGATGGATCGCAATTAATCACAGACTTAAATCGGGAATCAAAATTGGGTTTGAGGTTTAAGTTTTTTAAGGTATCCATTCTGACCACCACAAAGCACACTTTTGTTAGACTAACGATGAAAATTTCTTTCACGGAACTGAAGCCTTGAAGCTTTGAGACAGTGGTGGACCAAGGAGGGGGCCAGAGAGGGAGATGGGTCGCGAAATTTTTAAAAATTACTAACACGAGTTATAAAATCGTGCAAGTGATTCTATCCTCTTAAATAATTGAAATAATAATTAGAATTTTGGAAAAAAATAAAGTTGGCTCCGTGAAAATGTCTTCCGGGAATTTGGGGGTTACAGGCCCTGGATATTTTTGAAAAGCTCCCTTTGGACAACTGGGCCCGCCACTGAAAGAAGGTTGAAATTAGTATAACACTTCTGGTATTATTGTTGCCGTATGTTTTAGTCTTTTGATATCAAGAACATTGTCACAATTTTTTTGAAATTTAGTTTTTCTTTTTTTTTATATTTGCGTTATGCGCGCAGAGAAGCTTCAAAGACGAAGACAAGCCTCTGCCAGCAACCATGTAATCGTCCAACCTTTTGAAGAAACACTTTCAGTTACTAAAAATTACTGCGAGAGAGTCGAAGGACTCAAAGTTAATGCTTGTACCATCTCAATTTTTTCCTCAGTATTTGTTTTGAATTGAGATGTCCATTACGGTTTACGATCACTTGTAATGAATTTGAGATAGGAGGGTTGAAATGTTTAAAGATTACGATTAATTGTAGTGAGAGATAGCGTGGATAGAAAGAAACCATTCTCGAATGAATGAATGACTACTAATGAATTAACAATTGACAAGTATGCTGGAAGCAGTTTTCCGACAAAAGCGACAAGTAATTTTTTTTTGTCCAAGCGCTGATCCAAACACCTTGGCTAACATGGAGTACATGTACTGTTTTATAAGGTTGTAACTGAATAATGCAGATTTATATTAAATCACCAACTTTTCACACGAATAGTCTTTCTGTGTGCAAAAAAAATCACTGCAATTAGAATCCATTGGCAATTTTGCATTGGCAGCTTCACTGAGAAAGACCTTATAGCTCAAACATTTCTAGTCTTCTTGAAAATCACTTTGAGAATTCACTTACTTGGAAATGTAATAGGATAGCTTTAAACTTTGAAATGGATAGCTTGAACTTAAATCTTGTTTAGTCTATTGTCGGCTATACATGGGCGCTATGTTTGAATTTTGCGAAGATATAGCAGACATTACAAAAATTTCGAAGCTACTCTTTTTCGAATTGTTTGAGGAGGCAAGAAACTGCCGTTTTTGAAATTTTTGGCATTTCTCGGAGTGGAGAGAGAAAATTGGTCCCGGCTTTCTAATTTCAAGTGTACTATTCATTCTGCCTGCATACAGCGAAAAGCTCTTCTATCGCTTTGTGCTGAATATTTTGTACAGAAGAACAACAGCGAGTGTTTGAGTTTGCTTGAGATTACTCGACTCAAAAATTTTTAAGAGTCATGGCTCAATATGCATTTTTCAGCAAAGGCCACTCTCTAAGACTATGCATGTTTGCAATAATTCCACATTTCTGAGGCGGTTTCAAATTAAGATTGTTAGAAGAAAGAATTTTGAGATTACGCCTCTTACCTTCAATGCACCTTCAAAGGCACTAATTTGAAAACGAACTTTTTCCAGTTGAAGCGAAAGGACGCATAAGAAACAAAAAGAAAGAAGAAGATGTGTAAAATTCTTTTAAAAAAGGGTTTTTCTTCAACTAGCACTTTCAGTGAAGCTGCGAAAAACGTTTATTCACTCTGTTACAACCTAATGCATTCGCTCCAGTAGTTCGACATCAGTTTCCTCCAAAGGTACGCCTATCTTTTGAATTCAAAGCATATCAAATAAAGAAGACGACCAACTCTTGCAGATGATATATAAGACAGTATGTTTTTCAAATTACTGAGTCTCTTAATTTTTCATCATTAGACAAAAACATTGGCTGGTTATATTAAATAATGCCCTTCAAAGAACATTAGCCCAGATCACATCAAATCCCAAATGTATATTCAAACCTTTGTTTGAATATACAATGCAGCGCGATTTATGAACTCTTCAAGAACATAAGAAATGCAAATGTCATCGACAATTTTCTGGCAGATACATATTTTTTAATTTGAACAACACCATGCACTCTGTCCCATGCAGAGTTCATCAACGTTAGGAACCCTGCGTAAACACACGTGGATGAAGTGTATGTGTTTTTGGTTTGAATCAACAATGCAGCCATAGAAGTAAGTAAGATTCATGTAGCGTATCAAATGCTGAACTAAATATGCAAGAAAACTCTTCCATGCTACTACATTCTATCATTGCAGATTACCTGACTGTACCGATTGCAGAAACCAAGAATGAAATTGGTGGTCTCTTTGCATTTTTGTCATCTGTTTTTTGCGCTCATAGAGTAGTTAACGTTTCTTAGGTTTGTCATTGTATATGCCACTATATCACACCAATTTTATCGTTATAGTGTATCGATGAATGTATGGAAGATGGAGAGAAAGCGTTTGGTGAGCCATTGCGCACAATTCACCTCACCATGTTGAATGAATTGATTGAGAGGTGCATATAAATGCAAACCTGCTGATAAATGGAAGAAACAAAGAATAACTATGGACGAGTTAAAGAGAGACTTGGGGTGGGTGTGGTAAACTTCCTCAAGCAATTTTCAAGGAGATGAATTGTTGCTTGAGGAGCGTTTGGCTGTATAAATTTTCTATAAGGCTAAGTTGAAATTTCAAGAAATTTTAAATATTATTTTAGTTACTTACAAGTATAAACAAGTCACTTGTACATTTTTATAACCCACGTAAGTAACTTTCAAAAATTTCGCGACCCACTCTTGGTGAGGGAGCTGAAATGCCCCCTCCCCCCCCCCCCTCCCCCACTTGTTGATAGGCATGTCGCACTGTTTGCCTTTCAAGAAAGAAACGTAACCACTCAGAAATATTTGTCAGTTTTACAGGGCTGTTCGGACAATGTGCAATTCTGCACTTTGAGCCTTTTGTGTTTGTTTGCATTGAGATAGCAAATTTACTAGATTGATTGTAAAAAACGCAGATCTTGAAACTATTAGAAAAAAACGCTGCAAAAGTAATGCGCGTTCTTCTAGGCCTCGTTTCACACCGACTTTTTCAACCGAACCTTCATCTTTGAAAAAGGCTAAGCATAATAATTAGTGTCAACAATACCCTTAATATGGTCATAGAAAATCTCGTATCAGAATCCACATAGCGCTTGACAAGAGATCACTTCACTGTTTTTGACAATGCCTTCATCTTTGCGGTTCATTTTTGGTGTTTTGGACGCTATCTAAAAAGCCTCCAACGTTTTGTGGACTACTAACTCGGATTATGCGACAAGAATGCAACAGTGACTTGAAAGTACTGGTTCTCATGATATAACTTTGATGTGCACCTAAAGGTGTGAACATTTTGGATTTTTTAAGGCCGTCAAGATGCTTTTAAATTCTTGTGCGCAAGGGTCTGTCAGCCTCTCCTATGTACTGATCACCGCATTTTTTATAGGTTATGAGATATACCACTCCTAATTCCGTGCAGTCGCCTGGTTATCCAGACAGGCAAATGACACAATCAGCGATCGTACAGATTCTGTCATACGCTCCATTGCGGCTAAGTTGTTTCTTGAGATAGGTGGGATATCTATAGCTCTGACGGAATCATCGAGGCCCGCTTGAAACAAAGATTTTCGAATAGCTCTGCTAAAATCATCAGTCACGAATGGAACGCAGAACGGTATTCTTGTTGTCTGTTCACTTCGATCGGTCTCTTTTTTTGCCTGCAGGTATCTTCTTGCATTTTTTGCTTGATAGCCGTTAAAATACGCAATCTGTAAGGCAAATTAATCAATCTATTGCGCTGTTCAACTTTGGATGAAACCGAATTTGCTGTCTTGAGCATGTTTCCTATCACGGGCTGTTCCATGCTCCAAGGATGCGCAGAGCGGTAGTGAATTAGTACATTCTTACCAGCGGGTTTGCGGAACCATTATGCCAATTTTCGTCGGGGCTTATCCAGCGTGAATCTTATGTTAGGGGACTAGCTATTCAGAATGTCGAAACGTATGTCTATTTCACTTTGAGTTGAACATATGATGCAGCAGTCGTCAATGTATCGATAAAAGAGTAAGGGATGATTCAAGTAAGGGTTTCTCTATCTTTGACATGAAGACGATTGCGACGACGGAAGCCAATCTTTGCTTCATTGTTAGGACACGTACCTGCTTGTAGTACCTTCCTGGACATCGGAATACGCTGCAATTCAGGCATTCCTTCAAAGTTCCATAATTTGTCTAACGCTGAACCCATACATGATGGGGGCAGATTGATGTTCCGAGAGAGCTTATACACGGCTTCCATAGCATCTTCATTGGAGACATTTGTGTACAACGAAGCGATATCAAAGGTCTCTGTCGCACATTCTCCATCGAGCTTCGTTGTACTGAGCTGCTCCAAAAACATTTTAATATTCGAAAGATGTGCAGGCACATACTTTCGTAATTGTGTTAAGACTAAGTTCAATAGCCAGGAGATTCTCTCATTTAAGCCACCGCAGCTGCTTATTATGGGTCTTACTTTGTAGTCTTATGAATTTTCAGAAGGCAATTCTGACAAGGAATTTGAGTGTCTCTATTAGCACGTAAAGGACTGGACATTCGGGT